TTCAGACACTTTTTTGTCCTCTCTTGTGAATGCCAAGGGCAAAACATCCTTCAGTGTTTCCACAGACTTGCCAAGGAGATATAACACAGTGGTAATGTATATGCTTTGCACACTTCTGATTCTCATCAGGGCAACCTGTTTAAGTTTTCGTGTTTTCCTTTGCTCTCAATTTTCCATCATTTATTTTCCTCAAATCCTGCATAATAATAATTTCTGTAGTTGATACAGCATTGCCAAATGTCTTACAACTCACTCAGTTTGGAAACCTCACAAACAGAAGTGTAAGGTGCAAATCATGTTGTATTTGCAAGGTACTGGTTTATCTTACCCAGTCTGAAACTGCAGAAATCCATTAAAAGGTATCTTCTCAGATACGTCTTTCCTTTGGTCTGTAATAAGGAATATGGTAGGTAAATATTTATGTGTAATGCTTTCATGAACACTGAAAATATGCTGATAGCATAAAAGCTCAATTTTATTCTTTATCTTGTGGTTCATTTTTGTGATGGGAATTCTTAGACAGAGATCAAACATTTTTACAGAGCATGATTTAAACATTTGGTATTGTAACGTGTTGTCGTGAGAGCAGCACGACAATGTCAATAAACAGAGACTCGAGTGTGTTGTTGTAGAGACTCAAGTGTGTTGTTGTAGAGAGATGACTGTATGTGCAGACCTCTGTATCTGATTTAATTTGACGTGAATAAATCAGGGTTGACAATCCAGGTCGTATACCGTCCCACATTACAGTATTATGAAATGGTGAGAAATGAAAATTTTCTTCATTGTTCAGTTGTACATTCAAGGTCGGATACATAAAGATGTGTTCTGCCTCCTGGCATCTGAAGACAGTGGTTTCTCCATTTATCTTTAATATATCTTAATATAATTGTCATTTTATTAATCTTTTCACCTCATGTATAGTACACGACTGTAATCTTGAGACTTGCAAGGAATGCAGGAAGTCCGAAGCATTAAAGGCTGACACTATCTTTCCTCCTTTCTCCTTCACCCCACTTCCTCACCCTGCAAGTCTCATGATTACAGTCTTGCACTGTAACTTTACTATCTCATGAAGTTACTCCTGTAAAATTTTATTTGTTCATCTGAATCCTTTGTTATATCTAACTGTAAGAGACCAGCACTTATTCCTTTATATAGGGCATACGTTTTAGATATTCAGATAACTAGGTGGACAGACCAACTCATATGTCAACCAGTGTATCTTTTTTCAGTATCCTGTTGATTTTATTATATTTGTGACTTCTTCACTCATTATTGTTATCATTGTCATGCTGTCCCTTTATTCTCTCCTCAACTTTTCTTCCTTCTAGATTTGTTTGCTACAGGGAAATTATTTGGCAAGTGTACCAGGGTGCTGCTTTGTTTAGTTGTCAACTGTGGGTAAAACAAAAAATAGATACATAATAGTTGTTTACTTATGTACTTTGCAGGAGATGCTATAAATGTTAGCCATTGGCTTGGATACGTTCCTCGAACCTAAACAGATTCTGGCTTACGTGTTGTAGTTCTTACACACTGAGCACTTGACATTTCTCTCAGTTCTTCCTGTGTGTGTGGATTGATTTGATAAACTTCAGGTTTTAGGAATTCCCACTAACTGCAGATATCACTTACAGAACTTAAGTCTTGCAACGGGACCACATGACTGCAAAGAATGTGAATTATGGCATTGCAAGTTAATAGTTTCTGTAATTTTGTTGTGTTTTTTTTTTGGTAATTTTTAAGAGCTGAGGTGAATGTCGAAGCTGAGATCTGATGTCAAACTTTTATTCTGTTGGTAGTACTAGTTCATGTTTTAGTTTCCTGTCAATGCACCGTTTCTTTCTTTATTGGCAGAATTCTTAGTAGTGTTCCTGTGAGGAAAACTTTTATCTGAAATTTCTCACTGAACAATAGGTTCATGTAAAAATACCTAATGCCCTAGTACAAACATATCTGTGTCATACACGAAGGAAATCATACAGAGTACTGAGTCACAGGGAGACCACTTCCTCGTACTGCTGCTGCGGACTTCCCTTCACTCAGTATACTGACTAAAATATATAGCAACCAATGCAGTGCTTATGCATTGCTGAAATGCTGTGCCTCAGCACAACTTCTAATTGCTCTGTATAATTTGGTTTATTTTATTGTTTTTCATTCTTACACCAGGGGTTCTCGGTTTTTCCCAGACCTGGTGTTACATTTACCCTTTCTTATCGACTTATAGCCACAAGAATACAAATGGGGACAATTTATTGAAATGCAGCCTTACAATATTAAAAATACTACTGAATTGGGCCTACTATGTTTACATGTAATTTAGTAATTTTATTCTACAAAATCGGTGATTAGTAAGAAACTTAAAAGTGGTTTTGCTTCAGTAATCTTTCAGTATCAGGTTTGTTGCAGTACGCATGCATCCCAACATCCATCAGTATAAAACGTCTTAGCTGTTGATTTGATGTTCTTTAATTAAGCTGAGCACTTGTTCACAGAGATTGGTAATGCCTAATATTGATGACATTAACAGAACATGGTTTTTGATTAGTGACAGTTTTTATCATACAAAATGACACATTTTTATAAAACTATACATAGGCCATGCAAAATAGGTGGTTTACTTGTTATCTTACCTGTTGTTTTCAATTAGTTTGTATTATAAAGCTGTAGTGACCAGTTGATCAACCATTTTTTTAAAGTTGAGTACAAAGTGCAGTGTAAAATAGGAGTCTTCAGTTGTATAATTCAAGGGCATGTTAGCAAAGTGACTCACAGGACACAAAATTCTTGCACTGCATTGGTTTGACGGATGTGCATTATTAGTGTTAATACATCAAAATATAACTGTGTATCTCTGTGTAAAGTAGCATCAGCATGATACCTTTCTGGAGTGACATGCATTCCACTATTTTATGTTGTTAGATCAAATATCTCTGATTATGCAGTTATGTTGATAGCTCTTCTTGCATTGTGCACTCAAATTCACTGTAATAAAATTTATACACATGATGAACATATCTTACTAAGTCCATCAGGAGTAGATATGGAAGATTATGCCTGATAAATGTTCCTCTTTTTGCTTGAATTGTGTGTGTTGCAGTTATATCAGAGTACTTTGTAACTGCTTTTTGGCTTTTTTGTGGTTTGACACTTTTTACATAGGTATAATCTGATTGAAGTGTTGCATCATTTTGAACAGTTAAATCAGTTTGGGGCTAAACACAGCAGTGTGTTGTAGAATGGTATTCTTTGGCAGTTGAAGTGGCAGTGACACAACACTCAAAATTATTGAAATTGTCCCTGTTTATGGAGCACCTTCTTCAGTTTATACAGTCAGACAGACAAAAGTGATGACTTCAGGAAACTTAATCTGAGAGTATCAATTTTATCAGTTTAGTATGTGCTTGTGATTAGGTTTGTCTGCAGTGCTGAAACTTATATATACATAGTGTCCGAAAAATATCTATACATGCATTTAGTGAATGAAAGATATTTTAATAACTTAAACTATTACATCAGAATCAGCACTTAATTAATTAGTGAATGTAGTGTAGATGTTCAAAATTATCACCTTGCTGCACTTTTCAAGTTACCCCTCAAGAAATAGTCAGGTGGGGTTAAATCTGGCGATTGTTGGGGGGGGGGGTGCTCAGTCGACCCTCCACCATTTTGCATATCTGAATCATTAGAAAAGATAGTTGCAGTGCCCTGTCAGGTGTAGACCACACTAGGTTCCCCTCATAAACTTACACACAGAGGTTGATAACAAGGTTAATATTCTGTATTACAATGTGTGTATGTCTTTTTTGGACATTCTATATATAATACAGGAGTATTCTAAATGCAGGCCAGGAAACAAGTGGACACCTGCAATGGTTTTTGTATTTGTCACAGACTCAGTTTTTCCAGTTATTGACTATTTCTTTATTTAAAACTTTATTGAATATTACGCTTACATGTGTGTGCCTTTCCACTCGGTGTTCATCATCACTGTCTTGTGGTGATTTTACCATGCATCCAGTTGTCATCTTCTGCATCAGTCCTAGATCACTTTATGTGTGATAGATTGTATATAAGTGGGTAGAAACAAAATGTTTCTGAAGTAATTTATAAAAAAATATTTAGGATTACTTAGTTTTTGTACTTGGTCCATCATCTGGTATTCTGAAAAAAGCATGTTTCAAAAACTGGATCTGTTTTCATCTATTAGGTTTAGGAAAGAGAAGCACCAACTCAGTTGGGTCTGTTTGAAAGAGCTAATCTTGATCTCTGGATTGAGTGAAAACAGATCCAGTTTTCAAAACCATGCAATGGGCAAAGTCCAAAAACTCAATAATCCAAGATTGTAATACACCATTGTCCGGCCCCTTTAGAATCGACATTAACATTTAATTATGCTCTTATAAGAGCATTGTGGTTTGAAACTATTACAGAAGTGACTGGTAGTAGTAGTAGTAGTAGTAGTAGTAGTAATAGTAATAGTAATAGTAATAGTAGTAGTACTGATGTGTTATCCATTGTCACAGGTATATTTGATATGCACAACATTTTGATAGTCTTCAGCTAACTGGTTGCCATACTAACAGATTCATTGTTATTCTTTAAAGGTTTGTGGTGGCAGTCGAGATTGAACTCTCAAAATTTTTATTTAAAAAGTCCTGATTTTGAGTTCAATTCCATTTTCCATCATTAATATTAAAAGAATTATGCTGTTTGTGTAATGGCAACTAGTCACCTGAAGGTAGAAGTAGAAGCAGCTTTTAAAATGTTGAGTCAATCAAATGTACCTCACAGAATGTCCGTCATAATATAAGTGGCAAAATTTTCTAGTGTTCAGGCTTGTAATATTGTGATTGGCTGGGTAAACATGCACTTGGTATAATGGAGTGCTTTTTGTTCCCGGTGGCTGCTCGCCCGGCTGTGGTCGGGCGTGCGTTTACGGGCCTCCTACTTCTACTATGCAATCACATGGAAATGCCTGAACGAACCTACAGCCAGCAAGGATTTAGCACAGACATCATACTTCATGGCATCAAACAGGTGATGCATTTACCATGAGCAGAGTTTTCAGTTGAGTGGTGGCATTGAATTGTGGAATTGCCGCTGTTATGAGTTGAAGCAAAGGGTTCATGTTCTCTGTTGTTTTGTTTTATGAAAGTAAAGTAACATTTGAATGGCTGTGTGATATAAATGCAATTGAACCACAGAAACACTGATTCTTATTCATAGGAATGTTACAGCAGGGATGGTACATGTTGGTCTGTGCAGTAGTTTGTTATATCTCGTCTGTTTGTGACAAAGTGTTCATTAATAAATACTATAAACCATCATTAAATTTTAATAATATATCTTCTCAATTTCAGTTTAATAGATCTGCTTTTATTTTGTAGAGATTGTGCATAAGCATGTTGCCTTCAAATTAATCAGATTTTATATTAGTGTTTGCTGACATTTTAAGATAGCAGTCTTGTTACTGGATGACAAAAAAGGTTTCTCATTTTTAAAAGAATTCACTTTTAATTAATACGTTAAAAATTCAGAAATCTCTCACTTAATTAACAAGTTATGAAATGTATGAATAGTATAATGGTTGTGGCCCTTTCACCAGAATTTGAACTTTGTGAATGGTCAGGGAATTCCATTTATTTCAGGCTGCAAAAACTCATGGAGGTTTACATGTAAGGTATATGTTATTGACAGATTTTAGTAAAATATCACAATATCAAATCAACCATTCTCAGCTTGTTTCATGGGTACAGACTGATGTACAGATGGAGAGTTTCTAATAGGCATTCCACAGGAATTCATATGCATAAAAAATGTACATTTAAGATCTGTTTTCCCATATCTGAGCCTCTAAATGATCTCAATGTCTATTGCCATTAGTTTAGTTTTGAAGAATATTAGTTCTTCGGTTTCATGTGTGGCACATAATATATCTCTCATCAAAATGACAGCTCAGTTGTTGCTTTCCTTTCAGTTTCTGTGATTCTGATCAGTCCCAGAAAACTGAATGTTGGGCATCACCACTTCCGTTAGTATGGGCTTGATGATGGGGTTTTAACATTGCACCTTAATTCATTTTCTGCCTTAAGGAATATTTAGTGTTTGTGTAATGTGAGTAGTAGTGTGTTACTGAGGGGTTCTCTCTGTTGCAGCCTACATCTGACGACCATGTGTCTTCAGTATAAGCCAACGGTTGTTGCATGTTTCTGCATACATCTCGCTTGCAAATGGTCCAATTGGGAGGTGAGTTTGTTGTACATTTTCAGACACTCTTGTGTAACATATTTCTTATCCTGTAAATAAACATAAGTTAACATTTTTGCTGTAGTGATTTTTTCCAAATGGTCTGCCTGTGCTGTGGTCAGATGTACATTATTTGTATATTATGGTCTTAGTGAGTGGAATATATTTATTCTGTACTTTTGTAAGCTTCTGCCACATTTTGGGAATAGTTTAAATTTGGTTAGTTCATGTTGAGGACATCATACCAGAAGGCCATATCAATAAAATTAAAATTGTGTTTATTTGATTAATACACCAAAATATAAGTGTATCTCTGTGTAAAGTAGTATCAGCATTATACCCTTCTGGCATGACATACATCCCACTATTTTATGTTGTTAGATCATATGTCTGTAAATGTGAAAAATGCCCACCGAACCTTGTTACTTTCACCACATTGTTCTAGAAATACACATTTATATTTACCATCTGTTGTAATCAACCTGTTACATCATAACCACCATTAATCACAAATAATTTTTGCCAATTAAAGATATTTTATGGAAATGGATTTGGATGTCAACTTTTGGGGACAATGATAGGGAATCTAAATAAAATGATTCCTCAGGTAGTAAACTTGACAAATTTGGTACAAAGATTCAACACTGGGAAGCCCCTGGAACATTCCTAATGTGTCAGTGCACAATATTTACCTGATACTGTTATGGTTCGTTTTTTAATTTTAATATTTGACAACTCGAGCATTGGCATAACTTCCATTTCCAGATTGATTAGATTGACCAAGGAAAACTGCATAATTGCAAGGATTGATTGGGTTATATGTTACATCTCTTTTATACTGTTAGTCAAAAAAATTATTAGTAATGGTTTGTATTTTATTATTGATACGTAACATTCTGGTACATTTATAATTTCTTGATGAATAAAGAAACTTCCTATAATATTCCTCTCTTTTTCCATTATTTGATTGTAGTAGTTTTCCCTAGTGTTAGGTAAATGCTGCATGTATGTATTTTTAGTTATTTCTTATTGGCCACTGAATGAGTTGTCAAGTACCTCATTGTAGTTGGGAAATAACATTCCAGCTGTCTGGGATTGTGCCCTGATCATCCAGTTCATAGTTACACACAATACTGACTGAGCTACCCTGGCTCATAATGTAATGTGTACATTTTCTAATGTGTCGTATCATACGTTTTCTCTTGCAAGCCTATATGTAGTTACGTTTTGTGTCAAGCAGATCCCACAGTCAAATGAAGGAAAGGACTGGTTTTGGTATGTGGACAAGACAGTAAGCCTGGAACAGCTTGAGCTTCTGACTGCCGAATTTCTTGTCATCTTCGACAAATGTCCTACAAAGCTGAAGCGCAAGATCATGAGCATCAGTGCTACACAAAACCCCACTCTTCCCCCTGCTGTCTCTGGCAGTCTGTTTGTAAGTAACCTTCTGGATTATCATATCTCTTCACAAAATGGAAAAATAGCCTTCTTTGAAAATGTGTCCTTAACAATTTTTGAACAAGAATGATTTTCTTAAATTTGTTAAGACTGTGAAAAGATGGCTGCATAAATATTTTATAGAGCTTTAACAGAGATGCTATTTTTATAAAGATAACGTTTGTGTGTGAGTGTTGTTTCAAGTGAAGCCCATTTTGGGACTCTTTTGGAAGGAGTAGAGACAATTATAAATAGTCCCCACAGACATTGAGGCAGTCACTGTGCAGACTCCAGCTGATGGATCCTCTCTTCATAGGTCTTTTGGGGCTGCTGCTGGAACCACTGCACCACTTCTGCCTTGATGTCTTTATATGATCTGATTCTTTTGTCCTTTAGTACTTTCTTGAGAGAGCTGAACACATGGAAGTGTCACAGTGACAGGTTGGGGGTCTGGGGGACTAACACCTTTGAGCTAATGGAGCATAGCATGTTCTAGACTGTCTAGAACATGCTATGTAGGTCACATAGGGACAGATGCCATGCAGCACTTTGAGTGTACCAGGATGCTTTCTGTTGATACCAGAACAAAGATCTCAGAGGATTTTACAGTAGCAGTGTATAGTGATGGTGATGTCAGGGTTTTGAATGCCAGCATCAGTGGTCCATTGGTGTTGCATAAAACAATTACCTTTCCTGCATGTTATTGGGATTTGAGTTTCTTAGTGTGGGGGAGCCGGTTATATCAGCCCCGCGGTCTGAGGCGTAGGTCTTGTACACTTGAATACTGTAACCATGGGTTCAAATCACATTCAAGGCATGGATGTTTGTATGGGTCTTTCCGTATTGTGCCGCACTGTCTACAGGTAGAGGCCTTGTGATGGGCTGATCACTCATCCAAGGAGTCCTTCCAATTGTCTAATAGATCAAGAAACCTCTAAAAGGAGGCACCTATGCTCCATGAGGAGCAGAAATGGTACAAGAAGAAGAAGATGTTTGGGGGAGGATGGGTGTTTCTGTGTCACGCTTGCAGCTTTTCATCTGGGTTGAAAGTGATGCCTTATTTCATTGTTCACCACAGTCTTGCCCTTTATGTGGTAGTGCTGCAAATACTTCGTCAATAGTGCCATTTGCTGTATATTTTGTGACAGTCAGTGAGCATTTGCAGGATCCATGGGGTGCAGTGGCCAAGACATCACAGTTGTATGCATAATACCAGTGCTCATAATGAATTGCACTGCTAGTCCAAAAATGCTCCGTCAGCCACATGAACAGCTTTCTTCACGTTTATAGGTGATTCAATGATATTGTCATGTCCAAGTTGTGCCGCATCACTCATTTCCTGCTGTCCTGAATGAATATCTGATGCCATCCCACCACCATTGTCTTTGAAACATGCATTCTCCCTTCAGTTTTGGTTTGTTGACAGTCCTCAGCACCAAGGAAATGAATGTCAGCTTGTTGGTGTTTGTACAGAGTACACCAGCATTTAACTATGTCATGTTTTACCTGTTTGATCTAATGCACCCATATTGTTACACATTTCATAGTCAGCTGCTGGTTGAACAATCCTCAAATAAAAAATACTATACTGTCTGGTTTCACTATGGCAACATACTAACTATGGTTGCTAGAAGTATGAAATTTGATATGCAAATTAGACTTTAAATTTGTTCCCTGTGCTTAACAAGGCACCACACCATTAAGATATGGGAGTGGGTTTTCTACATTTCCATAAATTCTTAAGCTTGACCATAGATGGAAAAGTGGTTCAGCTTCCTATTCTTGCTTTTTTTAACCTCCAGGTGAAGACTCTTACTCCTGATATCCATTCTTTTAGATGCTAGGTCAGCATCTAGGCCAGTTTGAATGTGGTGACATAGAGAAAAGTCCCTAACCCTGCCAGGAATTAAGCACAACTGTGTGGAATATGTACACTTTTGTATGTTGAGATATGCTAACAGTATGTAAACTTTCATTATAGTGTTATACCTGCCTATCAGTGACTGATTCTTTATCAGTATATTGCATAGAGAAGTGTACTGTGTTACAGGATATGGAGCCTCGTAAAATTCGTCCACCAGATGGTTGTCAGGATGGGCTAACATTTCACACTGGAGTTCTTGAAGGTATTGGTCGCCCTCCTCCACATCACTCTTCACACATGCCAGGTGATGCCTCATCAAAACCTCCTGCTGATAGTGAAACTTTGAAGAAGCCACACCAGACCTCGTCATGTCTGCCTGGGGGCTCAGGACCATCACAACAATCTGTTCAGGCACCACCACGTGTTGACTATCGTGACTACAAAGAAAAGAAGGAGCGGGAGCGATTAGCACAGCAAACAGGAGTGTCCAGGTGTGTTTATATGTTGCTGCAATTTTGCGTTGCACGAAAGAAACTAGGTGTTTTGTACCTGTGTTTTTGTTATGATATAATAGTTAATGGAATTTAACATTTTTACTTATTCTGAAACCAAGGAAAATTAACCAGTACATAAATTGTTTTAAACAATTTTAAAAGCCACTGGCACAAATGTTTTGTTTTCCTGAATTTACTCATATCCTGTGCAATCCATGACATTCATAGAGCAGACTGCTACCTCTCATAAGGCAAGATTCTTACATATGAAATGCATCAAATAAGAGTTGCCGGTAGACATCAGGAGACAATTTTCTTAAATTATTTATTAATATTGCATCTATAAACCATCAAATGTAACTATTTGTTAATGTTTTTTTAACCCATCATGTTGCTGCCTACATTTGCCTTCAGGGGTATTACTGTGTTACAAATCATATTTGTTATTAAGGATGTGTGGTAATGAAGTCTTCTCAAGTGATTGGCCATGTGAGGATGATGTAATCCAGTGTTTCAGAGACTGTCTCTGCCTTCATTATCAGAATTGATTTGTGTATGTTTATAGGTTGTGTATATTCTCAGGATAAACAGTGATTATTTCTGTAAACATCATTAATCAGTCAATCTTTGTAATGAAGAGGCATTGTGTTTTCTTTGTGGTAGGAAGTAAATCTTTAAATATTATATAGATGAGTTTCAGATTCATGGGGTGAACCTCTGTGTTGAGCTAAAATTCTTGTCCTTCTATTTTCTCATTGTATTAAATTATAAGAGTTATCTCTTATGTAAATCACAGTCATAGAGAATTCATGTTTAACATAATGACATTGATAAAAAATCAGGTATTTTGCCAAATGTTTCTTCCACCTTTCATAATTAACTCCTCATGAGAATGGCTACATAAAAATAGGCATTTTATAATCTAATAGAAGCCAAAAGCATACAGGAATGAAATGACACAATGGAGTACTAGAGTAATTTGAAAATGCTGTTGCCAGGTTTCTGAGATTGCCATGAATCTTGAAACATGGACCCATTAATCTGATACTGAAACAGGACTTTAGCAGGTCACTTACATTGTCACTGATGACATTCCTCTCGTAACAATGAAATAGAAAGGTGGTGGCTACTTTCTCAACAATAGTTCATGTTACTGTTGTGCAAGAAACTCAGCTTACCATTATTGTACAATCATAGACAACAGTTTTTAGTGACAGAATCTTTAAGAAAAACAAACTCTTTGTCAACTGGAGTGTTTTACTCGAGCTGCTGCATGACAAAGATTATTCCTTCATGTACAATAGACATCACAATGTTCTTCCAGTGGAATACTCCAGGACCTGGCATTAATTATGAGTCAAAGGAGTGTCTTTGTGGTCACTTATTTACAACCCCTGACACTACTTATATGCACTAAACAGGAGTTTACAAAACTGCCATAAAATGGGATGTGCAGTGCTTTTAAAAGATAGGACTTTGACAACTCTTGCAGAACCATAAGAAATATAGCAGCTTCTTTCTCAGTTTACATACTTATATTTTATACCTGCTGCTATATGTGTATAAGGAGCCCATTTTATGAATAGGTTGACATTGTTTGAATCATACATTCTGTCATGAAAGTGCACTGCCTATGACAGGTAGTCAGTAAGCTGTGACTTGGTACTGTTCTTATATCTATAAATTATACTTTATATATGCATCCTGGCTCATGTCTTAAAACTTTCCTAGTGGTCATAATATTTGATGAATTTAAATAAAAATGTTTTACTTTGGAATTAGATTGTGTGGGTGGTGATATTTTCCATGGTGAACCATTTTCATAACAATTGTTTTGACTGATATGATTTTACAGGGAAGGACATCATGGTGGTGCAACTCATGTTAGTAAGAGTGCTCCAGGAAGTGCCAGCAAGCATGGTTCTGTACCTCCTGGGAGTTCAGGAATAATAGGCAAGCCTGGACAACCTCACTGGGAACACAAGCACCCTCCCCCAATAGGCCCTGGCCTAATGCGAGTCACCCAGGCTCGCGATGCCATCCGTCGGGAGCAGTCATATTCCCGTGAGGCTGTTAAAAGGGAAAATAGTAACCAGCGTATTGGAGAACACATATTTGCTCCTCCTGTCCGACACCATGAGCCTAAAGAACCTTTGTTACCAGCACAAGGTGAACATGTTTCATCCCAGCACCATGGGCTGCCATTGGACTCTGCTCTTTCTGTGGTAAATCATCTAGGTAGTGGACTGAATAGTGGCATTAATTGTAGTATTAGTTCTAGGAAGGATAATCAGGGCCTTGAGTGGACAAGTGAGAAAGCGAGTGACTTGGACAGCAGACATGTTATCGACAAATCAAATGTACCAGGTGGCATGAAGAGTACAGAAAACAGACATTTGGTCCCTCTTCATGTAGATTCTAGTTTAAAACGAAGCCAGCAACAAGGATTCGAATCCTCAAGCAGGCATTGTCACCGGGGAAGTGCAACAAATGGTAGTGATGCTCGTACTGTGAAGGAAGATGTGCCCTCGAAAATGCCATCAGACTCTAGTGATTCTCAAAGACATTTGTACAATCATAACAGGCATAATACTGGTAGTGATAGGCTCGACCATGGTCGCCATCGCAAGTCTGGTGCCAGTGAACAGTTTACCTCAAGGCCACCTCAGTCTTCTGTGGAAGGTATTGTTGAACGGAAGCAAAATATTTCAGAAATGGGCGAGTGGAAGCCGAATGTTGTGGATCGCAGGCCAAATGCAGTTGATGTGGTGAATTGCAAGCCAGTTGTTACTGACTTGGTGGATCGAAAATCTAATGTCTTAGATCAGTCAGGTTCAAAGCAAAATACAGCTGAACTTTATTCTTCAGTTGTTGAAAATAGGCATGAATCTTCTAACAGGAAACCTGGAGTTTCTGATGCTAAACACCAGGTAGTTCAGCCATACCAGAATACAAAGCGGGATTCCAAGCCGGATATAAATGCTGTGAAAAAAGACAATTACATAGACTTTGGTAGCAGGGTAGGAGCCTCATCAGCACGACCACCACCAACACCACTACCACCACACCCACTTCCTCTTCCATCACCACAACAGCAGCCAACTCAACCAGCATTAGCACAACCACCACTGCTGCCAAATGCTGCAACATTACCCTCCCATCACCATTCTCAAGAGAGGCACAAGTCTCGACCTAAATCTCCCTCTCAAGTCCATGAGAAACCTCCATCTCTCCATCACCAACATTCTCGGTCTGCTGTTCCTCCTCGGGCAAAATCTCCCATCTCTGCTACCATTTCTGTGCCATCAAATGTTTGCAAGAGGTCAGAATCCCCACATCATGCAAGAACCAAGCCTACCACAGTGACCGTTCTAAATACATCAATTCCTCGAAGCAGCATCACAGTTACTGAAGTGAAATCAGTAGCGGAGGCAAAAAGCAAGTGGCCTGAAGTGCATGTAGCAAAGCCAGTGGTGGCAGCGGACCAGACATCGGAGACAGTCAAATCGGAGGCAGAGATGTTACTGCAGACTTCTTTAAAGGTTTTCAGTGGAAGTCAGAAAGGTGGAACTGTTGCATCTTTGCCCATCACACCTGACAAAGCTGGAACCACTGCCCTTCGGGAATTATCCCATCCACGATCCAGCAAGTCCAGGCAACGTACTCCCCCTTCATCTGGAAGTAAGAAGATTCCTGCTCCACTGCCTGAAATTCCATCAACACCTCTCTCCCCATTTGGCTCTCCACCCACTCCAACTCCTACCACACCTGGCAGTGCAAGCAAATTACAAGGATCTCTCAAGGCTACCAAACGGCACCGAACAAGCAGCTCAAGCTCAGAACCTGAGCTTGTTCCTGTAGTAAAGAAGTTGGATGAGATAGCTGGCTATGAGAATATAATTCGTGACTCAAAAATGGGCATCAGATTGCCCAATAGAGTCCCAGATATTATTCCACCAATACGAGATCGCAGCAAGAAAGATGAGACTGTTGTTGCTGCTTCTGCTATTGGCAGTAGTCATAACAGCAATAATAGTGTAATGTCTTCAGTTGGCAAGGAATTGAAAACTCCAGATCTTATACGACCTTTTGCCACACAGATGTCAGATGCATTGTCACAGACAGCCAGATCAGCAGGTTTTCCAGATGATCTTGGCGCAGTGGCATTTCCAGATTCAGACTCAACAAATGACTCATTTGTCCGATCTAAAATACCACCCCCTCCTATAGCTTCTGAAGAGGCACTTAGCAGTGCCAACATACAGACTGTGGGAATTATTGACATCTCCACAATGGAGGAACACATCCAGCCACTGGAGAATGTTGTACCTACTGCCTGCAGCTCTCTTTCCATGCCAGAGCACCACCATAAAAGTGAGAAGAAGAAGAGAAAGAAAGAACATAAGGAACACAAACATAAAGACAAGGACAAGAATAGAGAAGAAAAGAAACACAAGCACAAACACAGAGACAAAGATAAGGATCGCCACAAGAGGGAAAAAGCTGAGGGTTCAGCTCCAATTAAGATCACTATACCTAAGGATAAGATAAACTTGAGCTCTCCATTGGAGCCGGTGGCAGGAACAGGACTGAAACTTAAGCTTAAGAATTATATGTTCAAAAGTACCATCTCCACGGACAGCAGTCCACAGCCAGCTCTGGGCAAAAATATCAAAATCAAGATTGGTGATGAGGTGATCAGCAACTTCAGCAACAGCAATATGGGTCCACCAGCTTTGAGTACTGAGGCACCGTCATCCTCCAGGAAAAGGGATTACAGCAGTCCTCGATCCTCTGAGTTGGTATCTCCCCCAGGACCTCCTGCCAAGTCATCACGACTCAACACTTCATCCGGAGACCAGCGTCGGAGCGGCAACAACTGCAGTAATTACGGGAAACAAAATGGTGTTGAACATCACCGCAGAGGCTCACACTACTCATTTGGTAACAAGGTACGTGGTGGCGGCAGAGGAATTTCCAGAGGAAATTGTTACATGACACCAACTCTTCCCATGCAGCAGCCCCAGCCTTACCAGCCATATCCTCACTACTACCAAGCCTATCCACCTCCTCCAGGAATTGTTCCACAGTCATACATGTATGGCTACTATCCTCCAGCTTCATATATGTACCAGCCTCCTTTACCTACTGGTCCTGCACCTGATGTAGCACACCCTCTGGAACCTCCTCCCCTCCCTGAAGGACCCCCTCCAGATAATCCACCTCCCCCACCCCCACCAGAGTAGTCTGCAGGGGGTCACTGGTTTACTGTGCCTTTGATAATAGTTGCTGGTGGTTATTAATATCTTGTGGATTTTTATTTTTTGATGTTCTTGGGGGACTGCGACAACCTTTTATGGTTCAACAGTTTGAAAGCAGGAAATATACAAAGCATTTATTTTCCCTATGTTCAGTTTTTGAATACAAATAATAAACTAAAATTAACTAATTTGTAGGTATGATTTTCTAGAATTTATTTTTATTTTGTTCTTGTTAAGAATGAGAAATATTGTTATTGTTAGTATTAATATATATATATATGTGAGTGTGTGTGTGCATACGTATATGAGTGCATGTTGGTTTGTGTGTGTGTGTGTGGAGAGCAAGTCCACTTTAGTTTAGAACTGGGGCAGTTTTATTTTAAGGTTGTGTTGTACAAAATTTGGAAGGAGAAGAGTTTCCTTGTCAGCTTTGCTTAATGCTAGTTTAACAGGGTATTGCATGCTCACTATGCATGATCTGTCTGTATGTGTTTATGTATGTGTGTTATTGAATAAATTATTCATTAGTTGTCACTTGGAGTTCTTTGTTAATGTAGAGACATTGCTGCATGGGGAAGGCATGCTCCAGAATATCAAACCTCAAATAGTTTGCCTAGAAATGTCACAGGATTATGATTATATTTAATCCCTTTAATTTTCCTGAATATACAAAATCTTTAATATAAATTATCATTTACATTCAGATCCAGCTTTCGTATGTGGGTGTGGTTGGGAAATTCATGCATATGTAACATTTCAGAAGGAACATAAATTGTCTCTCTAGTAGAGTGCCCTGGTATATTTTCAGTGTGCATACATATCACCATTTTTTCAACGGGATAATTCCACTTCCCACGTTGCTTTCTTTTTTCCCTGATAATTTAAATCTGTTCAGTCATTTGTCTTTTGTAGTACAGTGTAAATTCAAGTTCATGCACAACCTGTAATAAAAATGGTACTCTCAGTAGAATATGTACTGACTCTGATCTGATGGTGTTCTTGCATATCTGCAGTTACTTGATGCAGTCAGCATGCTTATGGCATGGCAGTATGTAGAGAAATCAATGCAGTGGATTCTCTGTTGAAGTGAAGCTGTTGTAGCTTGTAGAGTATGATAGCCTTCTGACTCATCAGATATATTTCCATTATCTACAGTTCTCAGGGACAGTTCCTCCATTTTTAACATAATTGTCATTTTAAAATGGATTCTGCTGTCTTTATTATGTAAGGTCCAAATATTTTTTTTAAAGAATGAATGCTTTTATATGCAAAATGTACCAGCTAGTCATGTACATATTTTGAAATATGTCGGGTGGCAGTTCTGTATTAATATTTCAAGTTTTTGTTTGACAATATGTATAAAACAGTTTGGTCATCACCCCATTCCACTCTTTCAAACTGAGGTAATGGATGTAGTCAGATTCTGTGCCATGAAGACATGTGGAGGTATTAAGGTACAGATCTATACTTTCTTAAACTCGGTATTAGACACAATGAGCTTGTAAGTTGAAGTTGGCTTCTAATGTGGAAATAAAGTTCAGGAAGGTAATTGAATGGAATTAAAATAATGCAGATTTCTCAAAAATGGATGTTTTGTCAGTATACAAACTTACGTGTTAACACAATAACTGAAACTTTTGCATAATAAACATGAAAACCAGAAAATTGTTTTGTACCTATTTAATAAAAAGTAACTTCTACAAAGTCACCATCTTGGTTAATGCTCTGTTTCCACTGGATCAGCATCATTTTTGATGCGTTTCAAGCCACATGCCCAACTTGTTTCACCTCTTTATCTATTGTGGAATGCAGTCCTTGTGACACTCCTCTAGGGGCCCAGACATAAGAGAAATTACTTGGCGAAAGATCAGATAAATGAGAACATGGTATGATTATAATCCAAACACATAATATATTTGAATTTGTATCATGACAGTAGTAGGGAACAAATGTGTGTTCTCTTTCTTATATCTGGCATTTTCATGCTGCCATCTTGCACGCACTTTGTGGTTGCCCATTTCACCATGGATGGTGTGTTAAGCGGAACCAGAGCTCTAATTTCCATAACAAACTCTTTCAGTTTAATGCAGTTTTAGTCGTCTGTACCTCTATGCATTAATGCACTTGGAATACACTGAAGTGCTAATTTGACTAGAACTCAATGCATCATCTGCACACTGTATGCTACCTTTCATATTATGAATCCACACACACACACACACACAGATATATATATATATATATAATATACACACACAAGACTATGGTGATGAATCTCAATAGGTTTAATAACTTCTGCATTCAAAAACTGAATTACACTTCATTGCTGAAGTTTGATGCACGTTGGTAATTTTCTTCCATTAACAGCTGATTTATTGTATGGTGTTGCCGTATGTAGTCAGTGCTACTATTAATAGTTAAGTTATTATTAAACAGTATGGGTAAAAGGTAATTTTCAAGTTTGCAAACCTTCAAATAAGACTATATTTGTGAAATTCTTAACACTGACATGGATGAATCCAAATATCTTTCATATATCATAATTGAACTTCACTAAAGGAAATTTCTGTACCCCATTTCATGGAAGAGCTTCATTCTTAACTTATGGGAGTCTAGTTGTAGAGCATAGCATGACTGTACAGGCATTACAGGAAATATATATATATCACCCACTAACCATGTCCTCTGGATTATGCATATTTTGAAAATCCCATTGGTGCTGTATTTTCTTAAGTGAAGCAAAACCAATTTGTATGACCTTTTTTGGATGTGTTTTGGTTTCTGCTGCTTGCAGGTGGTGCAGAAATTGGCTGACACTCATAATTCCTATCAGAGCAAAGGGAAATCTTCCACCAGTTCAGGAAGCCAACCTTAAAGAAATAAATAGCATTCACTTGTGTGGGGGCCGCATAGAGATGAAGTGCAACCAACCAGATAACCCCACCCAGACCCTTATCCTAATACATGGTGATGGTATTCACCCACCTGCTCTTTGTTGAAGTTATCAAAAATTATACCTGTATCATAAAATTTTGACTGTGAACAGTGCTGTGTGGTGGTTTGGTATGGTTTTGGTGGTGCAGTCGTGGTTGGTATCATTTTCATTCTGTTTTACACCCCAGCTTCCTTCTCCACCTTCACGCCTGGGAGCTTTGCGCTACTGGTGCTGACTGTGTTGGCTGTCAAGGAAACACAATCTGTTGCAATTTTGTGTTTGAATATGTGTGGGAAGAAAGACTAAGAGACAGTTTTTTAGTTTTTTAATGGAAATGTGCATATTGCTATACAGGACTGAACATAATAGTGCCCAGTGTTTACAACGACAAATTGTTCTGTAAAGTAATTGTTGTTATAAATTAATTAATTTGAAAACGAACTTGCTTTTATTATCCCCATGACTAGAACACTGATCATATGCTTCACTGTGGCTGAAGCAAATGCCCTGTTTATAAATAAACTGCCCCAGTTTACTGGCAGTAGGCAGTTTCATGTCGGGACATGAGTGTTCTGACTTATTGTGTGTATATTTTTATTTACCCCAACAGAATTGCATTTGCAACTGGCTGAGGAATAATGTGTACCCATAATTTAGTGAAATTATGATCACCAGGAGAAGAAACTAAGTAATAATAACAGCTGAAGTGGGAGTTGTTTTAAGAGACTAGTCTTTCAACAGTGTATCACTTAAGCTTGTTCTCATGCTAATTTTAGTTCCTGTAATTTAATATCTTTATGAAGGACAGTAGTAAGTATAAAATTTGTTTTCTATTGCAAGAAATCACACAATCAAATTGTTCAAGTTCTGGAATTTTTTTCACGGTAGTTACTGGTTTGAGCTTCAAATTTGTAGGTGCTTTTCTTCGTCTCTTTAATGTATGTGGGGCTGGTATGTACACTTGGAAGATTTAAATGTGTGATTTCAGATTTAAAGAGTAGGATGGAAACTGAATCTGTGATGTATCCAATCAAGAGAATATTTTTGTTTTGGACTGGAATATTGCCTGCCACTAGTAATGTATTCTGGTGAGAGTTTTGTTTGTGTTCTCACAATATACCACAGGGATGTATATTAATGCAATAATGCATGTACTATAATGAGGTTAATCTATATTATACAATGAAATGACTGATATTATTAAGTTGGAATACTGTGTGCTTTATCATTTTCTTCTTTTTCAGTTGAAGCTGGTAATTTGCTTCATTCATACTGTTTGAGATAAAGAAACCAGTGTGTTATATCAACTAGTGGGTGTGATTGCTTGACTGAGCTGTCAGGATTAGCCCGTACTATTGTCTGAGGTTCAGCATACTTTTGTTGTCACAAGTTGAACATTCTTTTTCCATCATAACTAAGTAGTCACTGTCCAGATATAAGAAAATGAAGCAACACATGTTTTGCCTTGAGTACCTATGCAATTTTCAAGATGGGGCGGGGGGAATAAAAACTAAAAAAATTAGAAAAATGGGTAGTGTAGATTTTCATTCATTAAATTTGTTTTTCTTTCTGCATTTTTTACAACATAACACGTTTTTGTAATGATTGTGTCCTGAGGCTCAATGGAACATGTATATAAATATTATATATAATCTATATATATATCAGTTACATGATGTAAGCTGATGCCTTTGTAAATGTTACACATTATAAAACCTCTCCTTAAATTAGTTTCATTTGTAGGGCAAATACCCTTTCATCTTGCCCACAGTGTTACAGTGATGGAAATAAACAGTGAAACAGTTCATATGTTATTATTTTCCATCTTTACACAAAATATCACTTAATGTCTTTGCATTTAGTTCATGTGCAATATGTTTCAGGTGTAGGAACCCATCTTCAGGTCCCCATTTCCCTTTCTCGTACTACTGCACTGTTGGTCAAAAATCGTGGTTGGAAATTAAAAGTCTTTTAAGCTGTTTGTCACCACACCTTGATTATGTATAAAAATGTGATATAAAAGCAATTTAAAATTTATAGTGGTCAAACCATTTTTAGATGGCTGTTGTTAAGTTGCTGTCAGAGTGAAACAGTTTACGCTGATTTTTATTACCTGTCCTAGAATAAGTAAGTATTTAGAGACTTCTTGGAGCTTTTCCATAAGCTATTATTGCTGCACAAGTTGTATTATGCATAGGAACTGTGAACAAGTGATGCACATTTTGGCAGCCCTGGGGGGTGGGGTGTTACATATAAATGAATATTGGCAATAAACAAAAGTGATTTTCTTATTCCTTCCAATACAACGTAGATTTTGGGATGGACGCTAGCCTCGGAACCAGTGAATATTTGATAGAGCAGGAGCTGCAGATCAGGCAAGTTCTTGTGGGGGGATTTCTGTAAAGTATATTTCTTTAATGTGGTTTGTGGGCCTTGTTGCAAACTGGGAGACAACATATAAGACGTGGGCAACCCACTTTTTTAAAACCATGTTAACAATACTGCGGGCATTTCTTGCTGAGGAAGGTCACCGGAAACGGAGGTGCTAGCCCATTAAGTTACATTATTCATTGATAGATGGTAGCACACTTTCAGCTTGTGCTGCCCTACAGTGGAATATATCGATTGTAGAGAGTATTTGAATTGATGTCCGAATGTACACGTTTTATTTCTGTTTTAGCAGGATATTTTTCCACGACAAACTCCATTTGTACTATTCGTAACATCATAACACTTAAATTTAATAAGTAATTTAATATAAACAAAGTTCGTTCCTTAATATACTGAAAAGTTAAAATGGCTTGAGGGAGTCGTTTAATATAAACGGTTGCTGGCGTTAAGATAAGCGCTATTTTGAAGCAGTTTTAATTGTAATAAAACCCAGCCTGTATACCTACATACCAGGGGCATGCCAATGTCAGGAAACGAATGTAGTATTAAAATTATGAATTGTAATTAACTTACGGCTATGATCAGATTCATAGGAGAGTGAATTCCATTCTGAAACAAATTTGAATTAAATAGTGACCAAGAAGTCAAACGAAAATATGGATGTTTTCGTCTTATGTGATCTAACATAATGTATACACTTTTAGAATACTTTCATTGTTGTACAATTTCTGATGTGTGTGTATCCCTAATTATTTTAACGAGAGAACGTACTTTAATTAAACTTGAACTAACGTGTTCAGTTAGGGGACACTCAGCATTGGTATTTTTAAAATCCCCTGCCATTGATAATACCAAAATTGAGTCCATCAGATTTCTCAGTTGGGAGCGACACAACACCGTCTAATGTGCGATGCTAATATTTTGTATCATATAGATGTGTAGCAGGGGTATTTAACTTACGGCCCGCTACATCTCTTCATGTAGTTCCTTTAGTGTATCAGTAAGAAATTAGGGCCGTTTCTAGGGTACATAAAATTGGGGCAAACGCCGCGGGCCCCTCAATTCGGTATTACGTCATTTGTTCAAATTTGTGGTTCAAATTAATTTTATTTTGTTGAGCAGTGAGATAATGTTTGGTGGGGCTGTCTTGAAGTCAACAATAGTACCTGGAAACAGATGGCGAAGACCCCTCAATGTTTAGCAAGATATCGATTAGTTACCTCAAAGGAGTGTGTGACTGCTCGTAAAAATCGACAGATATTCTACGTATGCCATCTAGTTTTGGGACAGGAAATTACCAACAGAATTGCAGCATTTAGTGTTGACACGAATCTGCAAAGCTTGCGCCAGAACACGCGAGAGCTCGACATTGTTTCGAAATTTGAGTTAGTGATGTTCCAGAAAAGTTGTAGATTAACGAATCTTTTTAATTTTATGCCTGAAAGTTTGATTACCCTTGGCCTATAGCATGCAGGAGGACAAGTGAATCAGTTTCTGCAAAGTGATGACAATTTTTCTTCGTCTCGATGCTCTACACACCCGCTGGCATTGAACCTACTTACTGTACGCGTATGTTTGACCCTGTCTGGTTGTCTCGCCTTACCAGGGGAGTAAACATGGCCGATAGCAAACAAGAGCAGACTGCTGTGGTCTGAATTTGACACAAGACTATCTGCACAGTCTGGTAGCAGTTTTGTCACATCAGACTGCACAATTGGATTAAAATGCTCCCAAAATGTAGGAATAACCGTGACACAGAACAATTGGGCCATTCTGTCACATCCATGTCTGAAAGGAACATTTAATAAGTCAGTACGATAATTCTTAACAATAGGAGGGCGACTATTGATAAAATGACAAGCCTGCAGATTAGTTTGGTTCTGCTTACCAAATCATCCACAAGTGGCGCGTATGCATTGTCTGTTACTCAGGAAAAAAGCTTTGATCTTGGCATTGTGGAAGAATGTGGTGGGAGGAACATATGGACCTTGTAAAAAATACAAGAATTTGTTTAAGTCTGCATAATGTATCATTTTAACAATCACGTTTCAGCTGTTGGATTTCTAGCCACACACTTCCGCGAGGGTCCACACTGCCAAGGTCAAAGCATTTCACCTACGCAACGGACAGCAAGTAGTTCTGCGCCCAGCCGATAGATGACAGGCATCGGTGATTGGAATGTGTTGTAAACAGTGTCAGTGCACTTAACCAGTTCGTTCTGTTTTGCTAATTTAATAAGCTGAATTTCGGATACGTCTTTCTTTTTAACTTTGCCTTCCTATGCTTTAAAGACTTAAACTAGAGAATGTTTGTTTCCATGCAGTTTAGAATATTTTGGTTTCCCTGTCAAAAATTTGAGATGTAAGAATATTGGAATTGTGTACTCTTTGAAGTGCACAGAATTTATAAATTTTTAGTGCTTTATGGGAAACAGGATTAAAATTAAACTTTCGTTTATCTGTTGCTGTGAAGAGGGAGTCTGTCACCCACAGAGAAGAGCGTATTTTAAAAAAGTTTTGGAATGAAGTACCAGGAGGCTGGAGGGGCTACTCAAAGAGAAGTTCTATAACATGCACTCTCACCAAGGGCTCTATTATTAAGTTCCGATGAACTTATTCAGGAGGAAGGAATCGATAGAGTTTGTGGCACGCATTGCAACGATTACAAATTAATAAAAAATATTAGTCGTAAAATTTGAAGGGAAGAATCAACTTCTGAGGCCTGAGTTTAGATGGAGAATAACACTGGAATTTATGGCCAAGAAATGCGGATTTTGAATGTGCGCTGGATTCATGTGGCTCATGATTCGGGTTCCTTAAATGACGGTGAGTTTTTTGATTAGCTGAACTGCTGTTGGCTTGTCAGTACGGACTCTGCTAGCGTACACTGGACCAGGGGGCTAACATAAGGCTTGGTAAACCAGGGGGCCCAAAAGATTGGCGCTGTCCTCTTCTGCCATTTTCCTGAAGACGGAATCAGATTTCAGCTTCCGAAAAGTTGTAGTTTTATAGTTTATAATTTAGACGATAGACGACGTCCAAAGGAACAGTTTTGCATGTTAGAACACGCATATTCAACAAAAATAATATAAGAGTAAGATTTGATGTTTTCACAGCGGTGAGTATGAAGATTCCTCTCTTCTGGGTTGTCACGCTGTGTAGTCTGGTCGATGTTAACCAACGTTTCAGAGGTCATACTGCCTCCGTCATCAGGGCGATGAGTATGAAGATTTCTGTCTTCTGGGTTGTTGCGCTGTGTAGTCTGGTAGATGTTAACCAACGTTTCAGAGGTCATACTGCCTCCATCATCAGGGCGATAAGTATGAAGATTTCTGTCTTCTGGATTGTTGCGCTGTGTAGTCTGGTCGATGTT